ATTAAGTCGCCGTCGGAGAAGCAAAAGAAGGCGTTGGTGCTGCTCCAGGTGTAGACGTGGGTGCGCTGCGCAAACCCTAAACCCTAAACCCTACACTCTAAACACTAATCCCTAAACCCTAAACCCTAAAACCTAAACCCTAAACCGTAGACCGCAAGCGCTCAGCGCAGGAAGGCGTTAGTGCTGCTCCAGGTGTAGATGGAACACGAGAGAGTAAGTTCGCAGCGCGACCAGATATACTCCAATCATGAAAGACAAAACCCTAAACCCGAAACCCTCAACCCTAAACCCTAAACCCCAGATTTTGATGCGCAGCGAGTCCTTTCCGCACAATGTAACACTAGGTGAAACCCTGACCAGCAATGCACCATCAAGAAACATAATAAACCGTGCACAATAACTCCAAAATCTCAAACCCTAAACCCTAAACCCCAAACCCTAAACCCTAAACATCTGGAGCTTGGCCATCCACACTCACGGGGTTCTCTGCGGGCTGCTTCCCGTCGGGGCCCTTGAAGGTGAAGACGAAGGTGTCCGCTGCACCCAAACCCTAAACCCTAAACCCTAAACCCTAAACCCTAAGAGCTCTGCGAGGGTCAGCAGCCGTTTGACGGCGGCCCCAAACCCACACCTTGAGCTCGCCTTTGCCAGCCACGAGGTAAGAGCAAGTGGGCTTTGAGCTACGGTTTACTTAGGGTTTAGGGTTTAGGGTTTAGGGTTTACCTGATCCGTAGTACTTGTGGGACTTGTGGAACTCGTCTGTAAAAGCCCCAAACACAACTCCTTCAGAATCTTCCACGGCGATGACGCAGCCCCCAGAATGAGACACTCGCCTAAAAAACCTGCAGCAGCAGCAGCAGCAGCAGCAGCAGCAGCAATAGCGGCAATGGGAGCAGTAGCAGCGGGAGCAACTGCAGCAGAAGCAGTGGAGCTCTGAGCTTTGAGAAGAAGCGCAACAGCAGCAGCAGCAGCAGCAGCAGCAGGCGCACGCCAGCCGCAGCAGCTAGCTGCAACAACGCGACCCCACGTGCAGCAGCAGCATTAGCAGCAGCAGCAGCACAGAATAGCAGCACAAGCGACGGCAAACGAAGCAACGGCAGCAGCAAGCGCAGCGGGAACAGCCTCAGCAGCTCTTGCAGCAACAACTGCAGCAGCAGCAACAGTAGCAGCAGCAGCAGCAACTTACGTCTGGAAGGATATGCCGTGAAGTTTGAGACAAAAAGCAAGCTCCCACCTCTTGAGCGAAATCATCAGAGGCAAGTGCATGCAAATCTGCACGCAAACCCTAAACCCTAAACCCTTAACTCTTGATCGAAGCCCTAAACCCTGAGGCAGCAGCAGCGGCGCCAGTTCGCGCGGAGAGGCAACAAAACAGCAGCAAAAACAGCAGCAGCAGCAGCAGCAGAAGCAAGCAGAGCGCCTTCCCTCAACAGCAACTGCAGCAGCAGCAGCAGCAAGCCGAGCACCCTCCCACAATTGCGGCTGCAGCAGCAGCCGCAAATGTGCAGG